CGCAAATCAAAACCACATCTCACTCTAGTAACAGTGGCAAAATTTAACTGGGCCACAAGCAATAAATGGAGAGGATGTGGAGAGAAAGAACCTCTTAAACATTTTTGGTGGGATTCTAAGATGGTGTAACCATTCTGGAAGGCAGTTTGGTGCTTCCTCAAAAAGCTGAACATAGCAATTCCATATGACTCAGATATTCCACTACTTGGAATATACCCTGAGAATATGAGAACTGAGGCACAAACTGAGATTTGTACACCAGTGTTCATAGCAGCATTATTCACCATCACAAGAACATGGAAACAGCCCAAATGTCCAAACACAAATGAAAGGAGTGAGAAATTATGGTACATTCACACAATGGAATACAGCACACAGGACCAATGATTTTGTAAATTATTACCTAACTTGGGAAGGTCTGGAAAGCATTACACGGAGTGAACTAACTCAGTCCCACAAGGATAAATATTATATAAAACCATTATTGTAGAATGAGTATAAGGATCCAAGAGGGATGGGAGAGGCTGGAAGCAGAGGAATGTGGATGTGCAAGGGGAGAGGGGATTCATCATTAGACTGTACAATTTGATGAGTGGGAGGTGAGGAAAACGGAAAGAATCTGTATTGGAATTTTATAAATAAACTAGTAGAAAATATAAAAAAAAAATAAAAGATCACTGTTTTACAATAAAATAAGATTGACACAGGGGGAGGAAGAACAGGAAAACAGTGGATTGTTAATTAACACTGCACTGGAACAGATGAGAGAAGGGCTGTCTGAGAGAAATGGATTAGGCAGTTTATGTGTGAAAACAATTGGGAGCCGAAGATGCAGTAAAAAATGAAACAGGAGAGGGGGAAAGGAGGGCAAGGGAGGAAAATGTGCAGCAATGAATGAATTAAAACCCAACCATTCTGTAAACTTTAGTTAAAATAACAATTTTAAAAAAAAATTAAAAATAAATACTAAGGTCCCCATGATCCAAGCCATATTTTCATTTGTTTTGTACACATTATAAAGTTGGACAACAAATAAAAAAGTCAAAGACCTGACACTGTTGAGTTGTGGTTTTGAAACAGAGTATTGAATATGCCATGGACTGCCAAAAGAAAAAATGAATGTGTTGGAGACAGTGCAATCAGGATGCTCCTTAGAGGCAAGAATGGTAAAACCTCGTCTTACAGACTTTGTGCATATTGCTGGGAGGGGCCAGTCTTTATGAGAGGGGGAAGTCAGCATACTGTGAAAGATGGAGAGATGGTTAAAGAGAGAAAAGCCTTCAGTAAGATGGACTGACACAGTAATGTCAATAAGGGGCCTGACCATGATGCAGACTATTAGAACTGGGCAGGGGAGGATAGTTCAATCTGTTGTTCACAAGGTCACTATGAGTCCTAGGAACACTCCTTTAGGCAACTATGAACTTAGGGCCCAATAACAACAACAGAGTTCTGGTGGCCTAGTGGTAAGAAATTGGGCTGCCAACACAAAGGTGTATGGTTCAAATCCATAAGCTGCTCTGCAGCAGAAAGATGGACAATCAATTCCCACCCAATTTACTGCCTCTGAAAAGCCAATGGAGGGTCAGCTATGGTCGGTTATGACTCTACGGTACACAACAACAAAAACAGAGAGTACAGGTGGCCTATTGATAAGAAGCTGTGCTGCAATTTCAAAGGCATGAGGTTTTAATATACCAGTGGCTCCATGAGAGAAGGATCCTCTTGTGTGATTACCACTTCTGGAAACCCACTGGAGAGACATCTATGAATCAGTTTTGACTCAGTGGAAAACCATAACAAATTTTCTCTAGTGACCTTATATTGATTCTGTGGGTTTCCCTATTTTAAGTAATGATTTCTTTTTTTCTCAATCAATTCATAAAAAAAAAACAAAACCAAAATAGACTATCAAGAACCCTATGAGTCACATTATTTATCCATACACCTAGTGTTCATCAGTCCTTATGCTTTTTTCTCTCTACTCCTTCAGTTGTAACAGAATATAGGCACCCAGATTATTACTTCAAGAGTCTTAGAGTCACTCTGATGATACCCATTGAGAGGGCCCTGAATCACAGCAAAATACAGGGCAAAGCAGAACCACCCTTTAGGGCTTCTTGGCTTTAATATTATGGAAGTAGACTGCCACCTTTTTTTTCCCCTAGACAGAAGAATTTTTTTTTACAGGCCAAGATTACTGTCTATAGATGAGATATCTAGACACACACACACACACACACACACACACACACACACACTCACATACATATATACATACATATACATACATACAAACATATACACATACTGATTTATTTACAAAGCTCATATACATTGTTTTTCACACCAGATCTTTCCCATTTCCTTCACCCCTGCCTCCCTCCAGTTATCAAATTGTGTGACCCTATAATTATCATCTGCCTCCCTCCCATCCTCAGCCCTGTACTAACACCCTCCCCCTTGGATCCTCATACGCATTCTACAATAATAGTCTTACATAATATTTGTCCTTATGGAACTGAGTTAGTTCACTTAACATAACACTCTCCAGTCTCTCCCAAGTTAGGTAGTGATTTATAAAATCATTGCTCCTGCGTGCTGTGTCATATTCCATCATATGAATGTACCGTGATTTCTCAATCCATCATTTTTAGCCCATGGGGTACTGGTAGGTTTGAACCACTGCCCTTTCAGTTAGTATCTAGCACTTAACCACTGTGCTCTCGGGGCTCCTATCCTGATGGTGATAATCATTCACTATCATTCATTGCCATCAGGTTGGAACTGATGCACAGTTGACCCTCCAGTGGGTTTTCAGAGGCCGAGAATTGCACGAGAGGTGATTGTGCACAAAGCCACTGGTGGATTTGAACCACCAGAGAGGTACCACCTTTAGGTCAGCAGAATAACACCCTACCACTTGGCCACCAGAATTCCATTCAATGTTGATTGTTTCCGTTAGAAGCTGTCGAGTCTACTATGACTCATTGCAACTCTATGAACAACAAATCTGCACCCTGTCCTATCCTGGGCAATCCTCACAGTCTCTGGCACACTTGAGACCACTGCTGCCATCACTGTGTTAATCTACTTCATTGAGGATCTTCCTCTTTCATCATCCCTCTACCTTTCCATGCATGATGTTCTCTCTCCAAGGAGCAGACTCTCCTAGCAACATGCTCAAAGTATGAGAGATGAAGTTTTGTCATCCTTGCCTCCGACAAGCACTCTAGCTGTACCTTCTCCAAGACACTGATGTTGTTGTTGCTGTTAAGTGCCATTGAGTCATAGATGACTCACAGCAACCTATGAATGAAAGACCTGAACACCTGTGTAACTTTCCTCCTTCCTCCAGGTTCATAGGGTTTCCAGAGGCAAGCTATTTCAGAAGTGGATTCCACTCCAGCTTCCAAGCTTGTTTTAATCGGGGAGCTCCACCAAACACTGTCCACTGTGGGTAACTATTATCACATTTGACACATCAGTGTCACAGTGTTCAGCTTCACAGTAGCCACGAGGTACCTCTGTGCAGCAAAGGGGCAGACCAGGGCTATACCACTTAGAAGAATGTTTGGCCAACCACAGTTAAAACCAGGCCTGAGGTCCACAGATTAAAATCACCCACCTTTGGCTTGGTAGCATCACTTTCAGTCTATTAGACCAAATGAGCTGATAGCCATTCTTTAATTTCAATGCATCCTGAAAACTTTGATCATAACATTCTCCATAAAAATGTTAATGTCTCTATATTTTATTTCCCCATATATGAAATTTAAACTCTTCCGATGGCTTTCCAAGGCAATCCTCATCTTACCCCTCTTACCTTAATTCCTGTAGTGTCCTGTCTACTCACCTTGTATGCTGCAGTTGGTCACTTTCCAGTTCTACACAGATAGAAAGGACTGGTCTGAGGCCGATGTAACTCCTCATCTTTCAAATTCAGCTTAATTCTCTAAGGACTATTTCCTGACTCCTTATGGATTTCTCACCCTCCTAATGCACATATTCTTTCTGATCCCATCACCTCATGCATCTTTAACTTATTTTTCTGTTTGTCACCATTTCATACTTTTTCACTACAGTTTGAAACCAACTCCATTTTCCCTCTGAATAGAACCAGAGCTTTCTTTTCCTTTTGTTTTATTATTTCAAATGTCAAACGTGATGATGAACATACCATAGGCATTTTGTAAGTAGCTACTGGTTTCTGAATTAGAAAATCTCAATAGTGAATGGCTGAAATAGATATATGTAATTACTTTTTTAACAGGGAGCTGTGGTGGTCTAGTGGGTGAGGAGTTGTGCTGACAACTCAAAGGCAGGTGGTTTGAGTCCACTAGTTGCTTGGACAAAGAAAGATGGGCAGTCTCCTCCCAGATGATGCAAAGTCTCTGAAAATATTCTAGAAGGTCAGCTGTGAGTTGGTTCCAAATACAGCACAGCAACTGTGTGTGAGTGATTTATTTTAACAGAACAAGTAATTGGATGTTTTTATTCAAAAGAGCCTCAGTTTTTAAAAATATTGCTTTCTAACTATGCTTGTGCCTTCTGCAAGATTTTCTGCCCCTCATTAAATAAAGCTACTTGATCCTCTAAAGTGATCAAGGAAAGTGGCACCTGATCCTGTTAGACACATTCAGCATACACGGAACTATGCTAAGCCTTGCAGGTAGGCTTTTGTTGATGCTGCTGCTGCTGCTGTCCCAGTGTTGGATAACTTAAGGAGAACTTCAGGTGCATGCCCTCCAAAGTTGGCTGGGGCACATGCTACACATGGATTCTGCTCTTTTACAACTTTTCTTGGCATAAAGATAAACTGTTCCATTACCTGACATTCTGGCCAGCCACGTATGGCTAGAGGCTATATTGTAAGACAGCCCAAAACCTAAGTCAGATGTTGGATCATTTTGAATGTCTTTAGACAGTGTCCCCAGAAGAGATGAAATAGACGTTAAAGAGTTAAATACATATCAGAAATACACAGAAAGTGAACTTACCAGAGAAGACACTCGGTATCTTAGAAAGAAAGCTTTTGACCGTCCGAATGGGTATTCCATTTTTCTCATCTTGCATGCGTGCTATGACGTCTTCCATCTAAACAACAACAATATAATTAAAACCTTTCAAAAGTTAAATTAATTTTACAGAGATTTAAGATGTATATACTAACTTTGCCCAAATTAAAATAAGGAAGTATTTATGCCTTGTTAGAATTTGTTACATTAATATTTTAGGTTTGGTTTATTGGAGATAGCAAAAAACAACGTGAAAAATGGCCACTGGAAGATTAATTAAACTACTAACAGAAATCTTGTTCTTTGAACTTCGCCATTCTCCTGGTTTCACGTTCTTTGATTAAAAAGGGTGAGATAAAGAATGTTTATCTTTGAGTTTTACAGAAACCATTGTCATAGCAAAATTCACATTTCATTAATGTTCTCTCGACTATGTGCAAAGGTTAACACGCTTTCACAGCATCTGCCCGAGTTCCTGCTGAAACAAGACTGGTTTGACTGGATGTTAAACTACTAAATTACTAAAATTCTAAAACTATCCTTTGAACTACTAAACGCTTTCTGGAAAAACTATTGTTTCTCCTACTTAGGCATTTCATTTTGGAGGAGTAGGAAACCATTTGGTGGGTTAACTGCATCCAGCTTTCTCTCTTACTGGCATATTCTCTTTTGCTTTAAAATATTTCCACAACTGTAAAGGAGTAAGACTCACAAATTTAATGTGAAATTAGGTCTGAATAGTGTTCATTCAAATAATATGTAATTTTTTACATGCATATAAACCACCATCACACACACACACACACACACACACACACACTCTCTATCCATTCATAAAACCCCCCATTCGACCAATTATACGTTCCGTTAATATTTGCTGATCACCTGGTGTAGATCAGACTTACAAAAGACATTATGACTATCAACACAATTCCATTCCTTAATAATGAACACAATGGTCAAATATGGATAAGGTCTGCAGCATGGTTATCTCTGTTGCACCAATTCTAATGTCTTAATTCTTAGAATTATACTCTGGCTATATATAATGAAGGGAGTTTCGGCAGCCTAGTAGCAAGAAGCTGCACTGCAATTGCAAAGGCACGTGGTTCAAGTCTACTAGCTGCTCTGCAGAAGGATAGGCATTCTCCTCCTGTATGACTTACTGCCTCTGAAAACCCACTGAAGGCCCAACTACAAGTTGTTTCCAACTCAATGGAACATAACATCAACATGCTTACAGAAGATGTTAGCATGTGAAGAATTTGAGCAAAGGGTATCTATGAATTTCCGATTTATACAACTATTTCTGTAAGTGTAAAATCATTTCAAAATAAAAAGTTTAAAAATTCACAGGGGAAATTCCCTGTCAATGATATTAAATTTCTAGTAACACAGTTTCAGAATAGTTTTCAGCAATGATATCATGTTTATTTAGCTGAGTTATATCAGATTTATTAATATAAGAAAAAATAGGATGTACAAAGAATAGGTTTTAAAAATCACAGTAGTCCATAGCTAAAACTGAATTATCTGTTTAATATTACTTTAAAGGAGTTAGGTAAAATCTCTAAAGTTCTGCTTCCATATTTATTACACATAGAACTCCTTTTAAAGCACTCTAGAGTTGAAATGGGCTACAGAAAAGTTAAAAAGAATTGACATAGAAATGGTATGTGCATATTTAAAAATATAAATTTAGATATATATATGTATATCTAGCAATGTACACATATAAAGTTTATTGTTGCTAGTTGCTGTCGCTTAGGCTCTCAACTGTGGTAATTGTATGTTCAATGAAGAAATGTTTTCCATCCTGCACCATCTTCACCATTGATGGAGGTAGGTCCACTTTTCCTACCACCCTGTATATTCTGGGAGCCCTCCAACATAGAGAGTTTTCCTTCCAACCAGATCAACTCTCCTGCTGGGTTTTCACTGGCTGGTTTTCAGAATCAGCTCTCCAGGCCTGTGTCCCTACTCTGACTTGGTGCAGCAGCTCCACTGAAATCTGTCCGCCATGAGTGGTCCTATTACGATTTGAAACACCGATGCAGGGTGAAGTTTCCAGCACTGTAGCAACACATTAGCCAGCAAGTACAGTAAACAAATGGGTGGTCATTACATAAAATACTACACCATAAATCTGGATTCAATTACCATCAATACACCACTCATTTCTTTTCATGTGGAAGGCACCATCAACCTAATATTCCTGGTCTTTTTCTGTCTCCTAACTCAATCCACTCTAGGAAAACTTGCTGACTAGTGTACCACAAGAGTTAGGAAGGAGTAGTCAGCCTGCTGGCCCTTATACTCCTGCAAGGAGTAGGGCAGTTCAGAATCAGGATTCAGTGTTACCATATTTTGGCCACTACTCAAGATAGCTCTGTCAGCACCTAAGAGAATATTTGCCTGGACAAGTACAGACTTGGCAGAAAAGATAAAGATCCTTAATAACATAGGTTGGCACATGAGTACACATGGGCTTGAGCATGGCAGAGATTGTGAGAACAGGACAGAATCAGGTAAGGTTTTGATCTGTTGTTCATAATGTCACTATGAATCACAGACAATGCAATAGTACTTAACAGCAATAAGAATATTATATTGCAATATCAATTTCAATTTTCCATTTTGATTGTTTTCCTTCAATATGATTACACCTCAATGTCAAGAAAACAAAAATCTTCACCACTGGGTCAACATGCAACACTGTGATTGCTGGAGGAAAGCCTGAAATTGCCAATAATTCCTTCTTACTTGGATCTACAATGAACACCCTTGGTATCAGCAGTCAGGAGATCTGGAAACATACTGCATCGGGAAATGACTGCTGTTGGGATCTTTTCAAAGAAGTGAGAAGCAATGATGTCAGCTTAAAGACTAAGGTGTGCCAGAGTCAAGCCATGGTCTTTGCAATCACCTGCTATGCATCTTTGAGATGGACAACAAATAAAGATGACAGAAGAAGAACTGATGCCTTTGGGTTGTAGTGTTGGAGGATAATACAGAATATCGTTTGCAGTGACAAAAAACCAAACATAAACGTCTTGGATAAAGTATACCCAGGGTATTCACTAGAGGCAAAGAGGGTAAAGCTTCACCTCACATAGTTTGTTAAGAGAGGTTATTCTTTGGAAGGCAGCATCATGCTTCAAAAGGTAGAGAGTCAGTGAAAGAGAGGCAGACCCTCAACTAGAAGCAGTGACATGACGACTGCAGCAATGGGTTCCAGTGTGCCAGAGATGATGAGGTTGGCAAAGGGTAGGGCAGGGTTCAATTTGTTCATCATAGGGTCGCAATGAGTCATACTCAACAACACCTAACAACAACAAAAGAAAAGATATTTTCTTTTTACTGGAGACCTCTAAATGTCTCAACAATATCCGCTTACCCCATTTATTTCATGAAGATATCTCCTCTAAGCATAAAAATCATAGATACACCTCCCTGACTTTTGTTTGGTCCCTATTTTCCCTTCCCTTCCCCAGTGCAGTGTTCATAAGTGAGGAATAAACTGCTCTGCCTGGCCTGGTATTAGCTTCTAAGCCTGTGTATTATCTACTTAATGGTTTAAATCAGGCTGGATTAGACAGACACAGAAACCCCTTTGAGTCACATTTTAATCACCTCACCACCCACAGACAAGGTGCCAGATACCTACAATGTCACATCACTTCTCAGTTCATTAGATCCCAATGACCACAATTTTTGTTGTTATTAGGTGCTCTCAACTCAAGTACAACTCATAGTGACCCTATGAACAACAGATATGAACCCTGTCCCATCCTGTGCCATTCTCATTATCTGCCATATTTAAGTTGCTGCAGTCACTGACTCAATCCATCTTAAGAGGTCTTCCTCACTTTCACCGACTCTCCACCTTCCCAAGCACATGTCCCTCTCCAAGGAATAGCCTCTGCTAACAACGTGCTCTAAGTATATGAGACAAAGCTTCACCACCTTTGCCTCTAAGGAGCACCCTGGCTACAATGTGTCCAAGACACAGCTGTTTGCTCTTTTGGTAGTCCATGGGACAGTCAGTACTCTTCTCAAACACCACAGCTCAAAGGCATCAATTCTTCTGTCATCCTTCATTGCCCAGCTATCAGATGCACTACTAGAAACATAGAAACCAGCAACAAAATTTTCTAGCATGACCTCTGTTGTTACATATTCTGAAAATCTTCAATTGTTTCAAGTCATAATCTCTGTGACAGAAAAAATTTTCTGAGACTGTCTTCCTCCTTATTCAAGAGTCACTGGTACTAACTGTCCTATTAAAGATGCAAAGAGATACTGAAGTACAAACTATTCTTCGACCAGAATGCATAATTAGTCTTTCCTTTGAAATACTTTAGACGTCATTTCAATGCCTGGGATGAATTTCATTCAATTCCTGCGCAGGTTCTACAGTCTACAGTCTCCATGCAAATTATTTGCAAAGTAAAGACAGAGAAGTGCATCTTCTTTGAAGAGAACCACTCAAGAAAGGCCAGGTGACTCCCACATAATGATGAAAATCACTACCTCCAAATTTCTACTTCTCTCACACTCTAAACAATGATGGGAGTTTAATTACATTTACTTCCAGTTATATTCGCCAGGACTTTAGCACAATATTGTTACCAATTATTTTATTAAGCTAATAGCTTTAGAGAAACACTGAGTGGAAGGCAAAAGATTTGCACAAATTTAAAACATCTTGTACTCCATAGTTCTGAAAGAGAAACATCTTAATCAAAATTTCAGAGGACATTTCCCAAAGTCTTATTGTAAGCCACTGCTAAGCACAGGCTTTCAGAGAGATAAATGAAAGATAAAAGCAGCATATTGAACGGGCTTCATGCTACGTGAACACAGTCTAAAGTTATTGTGTGTAGCTTCATTTCAAATGCCAGCTATGAAAATGAGAGGAAATTATTATTAAAGTGCTTCTTGGATATCACTAGGCAATTAAGTAGTGACAGGTATTACATAATTTACACCTGCACATTTCTTTTTCCTTCAGGAAAGTCTTTCTAAAGAAGAAAAGGATCTGCATTTCCTAGTTCAGCAGGAAAAGCAGTGAAGACA